GTGGTAGGGTGACAACAACAATGGTGGTGGTGGTGGGGGTAAGGTGGTGATGACAAAGGGGGCTAGGTTGTGATGGTGATAGAGGTTGGGTGGTGGCAACGGTGGTAATGGTGGTGGGACGGTGGGGTTAGAGGTAGTGATGTGCCGACATAGTGGTAGTGGTGGTGGAGGTGGTGGTTGTGATGGTGATGGTGGTGGGGGTGGCGATGACAGTGGTGGTGATAGTTGTGGTGCTGGGGTGGCAGTGGTTGTGATAGTAGTGGTGGTGGGATGGTTCCAAATATTATTTTTTTTAAAAGTAATTATGTGAAATTATAAATTTTAGAGACATTTTTAAAAAGTCATCCTAAACACACATTTAAAGACTTATTTTTTCTATTAAATTTGGGGTGTTAATATTAACATTCGAATTAATTTTGAAGTAAAATTTAAATAAATTTTAACAGTGAAAAATAAAAATTATTTTGTTTATCTTTTGATATTTAAATTATATTGTATTTTATTATATATATTTATAATGAGTTTTTGTTTTTTGGCTCCTTTTGTATATCACTAGTACATATGAGTTGCACTTTTAATGGGTGTTCTATTAATGAACTATACTTTTGTGAATATTTGAAATTTTAATATTATTATGGCTTAGATTACTTCCACGGNTTTAGTATATATATTTATAATGAATTTTTGTTTTTTGGCTCCTTTTGTATATCACTAGTACATATGAGTTGCACTTTTAATGGGTGTTCTATTAATGAACTATACTTTTGTGAATATTTGAAATTTTAATATTATTATGGCTTAGATTGGAGAAAATGTTTGACTCCGCCTCTAGTTAAATGAGAATTTAGATTATATATCACAACTTTATTTCTTTTCATTGTGTTTTTTGCAAGAAAAAAATTTGTTAGTTATGAGCAAATCTAAATAAAAAAGAANATACTAAGTTTGTGATTGAACAAATTAATTTTTAAATTAGTTACGAATTTTTTTTTTAAATCCAATATATGATTGAGCCCAATTTTTCAGTTCGTTNTTATGAGCAAATCTAAATAAAAAAGAAAAATCATTTTTCATTTCATGTTAATCAAACACATAAAAATTTTAAATTTTTTATCTTTTCTGTATTTTTTATCATTATTCTGTTAAACAAACGGACCCATTGTGTCATCGTTAAATATTAAATAAATAAGTGAATAAATGTGAATCTTATTTCTTTAAATGCGGTGATTACCATTTAACATGAAAGAGTAGTTACTTAAAGAAGTAGAGTTCACTTTATTCATTTGTTTGTATATTATTGAGCAGTGTCATCATATGATAATAAAAACGTGATCTAATCGTTATAATAAGTATTCCCCCCCACCCCTCCTTCCTCCCACTAGATGTTTGGGCTGGCAAACTGGCCCAATCCATTGGACCAAAGTTTTAATTTTTGGCCCGGCCCGACTTAGCCCATGAACAGTCCTAGCATATGCTAAAAAGTCTAGGGTGTCACCAATATACTGATCATTACAATTTTGTTTTGTTTTACCGCGCATCTACTCTAATGTATTCACCATTCGAATACTCAAATTTTTAGCATAAAGTATTAATTTTGTAATGATTGTCTTGTCTGATCAAACTTATACTTTAAACCAATTGATGTACACCAATCACACAAATATCTTAGGTACAGTGGATCCACCACCCAACACTTGCAAGCCCTGTTAGACCTCTAAAGCTCACCACTAAACAAAACCTTGCCACCTAACACTGCGNGGCAGGCGTGGGTGGCAACGGTGATGTGTTGGATTTTGGGTGACGATGGTGGTAATGGTAGTCATGAGTGACGGTGGTTGGCGACGATGATAGCGGTTGTTAATGGGAGTAGTGGGGGCGACAACGGTGGTGATCGTAGGCGACGATGGTGGGCGATGATGAATGATGGTGGGTCATTTTAGTGAGTGGTGGTGGGTGCTAAAAGTGAGCGACGTGGCAGTGGAATGATGATGGTAGTTATAATAAATATAAGAATGAGATAACGATGATGATAACAATTGGTGGTGGGGGCAGTAGTGTGATAGTGGGGGCAGTGACGGTGGTGGGGGGTGGTAACGATGGTGAGGTGTGCATCGGTGGCGATAGCAGTGGCAGCGGTAGTGATGGTAGTGGTAGTGGTCGTAGGGGTGGGGGGGTGGTAGAGGTGATGGTAGGACAGTTGCGACAATGGTAGGTTAGTGGCAGCAATAATTGTGGTTGTGGTGGTGGTGGGGGTGACAGTGGTAGTGGTGGGGCGGTGGAGGTAGTGGTGATGGTGGTAGGGTGACAACAACAATGGTGGTGGTGGTGGGGGTAAGGTGGTGATGGCGTAGGGGGCTAGGTTGTGATGGTGATAAGGGGTTGGGTGGTGGCAACGGTGGTAATGGTGGTGGAACGGTGGGGTTAGAGGTAGTGATGTGGCGATATAGTGGTAGTGGTGATGGAGGTGGTGGTGGGGGTGATGGTTGTGGTGGTGGTGGGATGGTTCCAAATATTATTTTTTTTAAAAGTAATTATGTGAAATTATAAATTTTAGAGACATTTTTAAAAAATCACCCTAAACACACATTTAAAGACTTATTTTTTCTATTAAATTTGGGGTGTTAATATTAGCATTCGAATTAATTTTGAAGTAAAATTTAAATAAATTTTAACCGTGAAAAATAAAAATTATTTTGTTTATCTTTTGATATTTAAATTATATTGTATTTTAGTATATATATTTATAATGAATTTTTGTTTTTTGGCTCCTTTTGTATATCACTAGTACATATGAGTTGCACTTTTAATGGGTGTTCTATTAATGAACTATACTTTTGTGAATATTTGAAATTTTAATATTATTATGGCTTAGATTGGAGAAAATGTTTGACTCCGCCTCTAGTTAAATGAGAATTTAGATTATATATCACAACTTTATTTCTTTTCATTGTGTTTTTTGCAAGAAAAAAATTTGTTAGTTATGAGCAAATCTAAATAAAAAAGAAAAATCATTTTTCATTTCATGTTAATCAAACACATAAAAATTTTAAATTTTTTATCTTTTCTGTATTTTTTATCATTATTCTGTTAAACAAACGGACCCATTGTGTCATCGTTAAATATTAAATAAATAAGTGAATAAATGTGAATCTTATTTCTTTAAATGCGGTGATTACCATTTAACATGAAAGAGTAGTTACTTAAAGAAGTAGAGTTCACTTTATTCATTTGTTTGTATATTATTGAGCAGTGTCATCATATGATAATAAAAACGTGATCTAATCGTTATAATAAGTATTCCCCCCCACCCCTCCTTCCTCCCACTAGATGTTTGGGCTGGCAAACTGGCCCAATCCATTGGACCAAAGTTTTAATTTTTGGCCCGGCCCGACTTAGCCCATGAACAGTCCTAGCATATGCTAAAAAGTCTAGGGTGTCACCAATATACTGATCATTACAATTTTGTTTTGTTTTACCGCGCATCTACTCTAATGTATTCACCATTCGAATACTCAAATTTTTAGCATAAAGTATTAATTTTGTAATGATTGTCTTGTCTGATCAAACTTATACTTTAAACCAATTGATGTACACCAATCACACAAATATCTTAGGTACAGTGGATCCACCACCCAACACTTGCAAGCCCTGTTAGACCTCTAAAGCTCACCACTAAACAAAACCTTGCCACCTAACACTGCGAGATTTCACCACCAACACCATTGATGTGAATCCCTCTTACAACCATGTATCTCTCTAACCCAACACCTCCACACACCAGCATAGAGAGAGAGAGAGAGAGAGAGAGAGAGAGAGAGAGAGAGAAATAAACCAAAATTACCTACGGACACTACCAACCCACCTATGAAATGCTAGCACAACCCATTTGTGAAAATCTCAACCACCCAACACCGNCGAGATTTCACCACCAACACCATTGATGTGAATCCCTCTTACAACCATGTATCTCTAACCCAACACCTCCACACACCAGCATAGAGAGAGAGAGAGAGAGAGAAACCAAAATTACCTACGGACACTACCAACCCACCTATGAAATGCTTGCACAACCCATTTGTGAAAATCTCAACCACCCAACACTGCCACACCATTACCATCTCTCTACCATCTTCTTCTCAGCACTACAACCTCTCCCTCTACATATACACAACCGTAAAAAACATTAAATGTCATACACTAGAAAAGGTTTCAGTCCATGTAATAAAACCACTTTGTTAGGGAGTTCGGATGAAATTTACCCTTAAAAAAAAAGTAACTTTTCATTATTTAAAAGCTAAAAAAAAAAGAAACAAAGAAACAAAGTAATTGTAGCTTTAATTATTACATATTATCTATAATTACTTTTCATATAATTAATTTTTTTAATTAATTATTATCATAAAAAAACCGACAAAATTGAAACTTACGATGGCCCACCCGCACCTCCACCCTCTGATTCCTGCGGCCATGCCTTTCTTCTTTCCGTCAAACAACTTGAGTCAACATTTACNACTTTTCATATAATTAATTTTTTTAATTAATTATTATCATAAAAAAACCGACAAAATTGAAACTTACGATGGCCCACCCGCACCTCCAACTCTCATTCCTGCGGCCATGCCTTTCTTCTTTCCGTCAAACAACTTGAGTCAACATTTTCAAGAAACAAAAATATTCTTTCTTTCTCCAAGTCCTTTTTTTTTATTCCTCCACGTCAACACGACGTCGTTTCAAAACATCTCTCCGTCACCTCTACCCATTCAATCACTCTCCTTGACAGTATCAAAACCGAAAAATCAGCTACAGACACCTTAGCCGCAAAGCACAAATACCAAACACCACTCCTACAAAATATGCCAACCTCTCTCTCTCTCTCTCCCTCCCTCCTGATCGACCCTCTCTCTCTCTAACTTGNGCACAAATACCAAACACCACTCCTACAAAATATGCCAACCTCTCTCTCTCTCTCTCTCTAACTCGNACACCTTAGCCGCAAAGCACAAATACCAAACACCACTCCTACAAAATATGCCAACCTCTCTCTCTCTCTCTCCCTCCCTCCTGATCGACCCTCTCTCTCTCTAACTTGGAACCTGACTCAGTGACCGAGTGGCACGGAATGGGTCAGGAATCGTTCATATACAGCTTCGTGGCACGGGGCACAGTGATACTTGCGGAGTACACAGAGTTCACTGGGAACTTTCCGGCCATCGCGACTCAGTGCCTCCAGAGACTTCCCTCATCGAACAACAAGTTCACCTATAACTGTGATCACCACACTTTTAACTTCTTAGTCGAGGATGGTTATGGTAAATATCCCATTTTCACTTCTCGATCTCTGTATTTTCTGTTAATTTTCTCGGGAAACAAACAGAGTTTTAGTTGAATTATTAGAAAGGGTAGCTGGATCTGCACTACTTAGCAAAAAGTTGGAGAAATTACTAACTTTGGGTGCTAAAACCCTAAGACACGAAGAGGGTTTTTTTTTTTTTTTTTTTTTTCCTGTTCTGTTCTGTTTTATGGTTTCCTATTTTGTTTGCTGAGAAAGCTGGTGAGAAATTGAAAGAAGAAAATTTTCTTTTTAAGATGTTCTTCTGAAGTAGTAACGTAATAGGCTCTATTGCGAGTGAACCTTTTGTGAATTTGTTGGAACTAACAGAACTTTGGTGTTTGAAAGTTTTAAGTTTCTGGGTTTTTATGGCGATGGTGAAATATTGTTGAGTATCCTTTGAAACTTCAGCTATGATTTTGTATATGTATCGGCAGGCAGTATAGGTGTTCAAAGCAGAGTGATTAATGATTGATTTGGTGAAGGAGAGATACTATCAGAGAGAAGCACTTTATTATTTTTCACTGTGATTTGTAATTGAGCTCATGCTGCATTTGAGATTACCAAGATTTGCGGCTTGGAATTGGAATTGTTGACCACATGAGTTTACATTCTGGTTTAGTTTTCATCCAATTCCTGTTCTGNACCAAGATTTGCGGCTTGGAATTGGAATTGTTGACCACATGAGTTTACATTCTGGTTTAGTTTTCATCCAATTCCTGAAGTAAAATGAATTTCATGCTTCCTAACAAAATCACCACTTAAAATTTTGTATTCCTTACTACAACTCAATCTTATGCTTTCAATTCCAATGGGAATGGGCCTTAGACTTTTTATCATGTTACGTGTTAATAAGCTTGAGCAGTGAGTCATAATAGTAGCAACAAAGAGAGATATTCTATTGATAATACAGAGCATTGGATTTAACTACTTTTATATACTCATAATGGGTAGGAATGTAGGATATTCTTAGTTAGTGATGCAAATTTTTTTATATAGCAATTAGATATATCCATAGATATAGTAAATTCAATTTGAAACAACTTCAGTTAATTTAATTTTACTGGTCATACCTAGTATACCGCTATAGAAAATTGATTTTCTGTTATGGATTCACAAAGGGATATTGGCAGGCTGATAGGCCACGACTTTGCTGCTATAAGTTTCAGGAAGCCACATTGAATGGCCGCTCTGGCAGCATGCAGTGTAGCTCTCGAGTTAACTTTGTGAATTGTATGGTTTTAGAAATTGCAATATTCGTTGTAGTTTTAGGATATACACAAAGTCATACACATACAAAAGTGATTTTATGAGCAATTGAGCATAGTCTTATTAATGTTCATGCAACAAGGAAAGTAAAATTGCAACCTTTTACTCTCTACTTCCATTAAATATTCCCACTCCTAATCCCTTCTTGCTAGTTCTTCCCATTAAACATGGCAATACCAAAACACATTTAAGTTATAAATGTTGTAATGTTTTGTTTCAACCCTTTTGATGTATTGCTTGTTGAATCATGCAGCTTATTGTGTTGTTGCCAAAGATTCTGTTGGAAAGCAGATTTCTATTGCATTTTTGGAACGTATGAAAGCAGATTTCAAGAAAAGATATGGTGGCGGTAAAGCAGATACAGCTGTTGCCAAAAGTCTCAATAAGGAGTTTGGGTATGTTGAGCCAAGAAAAGGTTGATTACACTTTGCCTCTCCAACTATGGATCTAGTGTCGCTTTGCTCTCTCTATGCCATCAATTCGAATATTTAACCCTTCAACTATCCCAAAGCAATTTCCACCTTTGCTCTTGTTTGCGATTGACCGATGCCAAGATTTCAATTGAGTTTGGGCCAGTATGATACCAATTCAAGCAGTTGAAGGGGTTGAATGGGCAAATTGATGGACAATTTACACTAGATCCATAGTTTTGAGGGGGCCTAGTGTAATTGAACCGCCACGATGCAACTAATGAATGATTTGCTAAAATTTTTTGTGCATTTGATAGTTAATCGGTTATAGAAATATACAATTCACAAATATGTCCAACTCTACAGGCCACTTATGAAAGAGCACATGCAGTATATAATAGACCATGCTGACGAGATTGAGAAGCTTTTGAAAGTGAAGGCCCAAGTTTCAGAAGTTAAAAGTATCATGTTGGAGAATATAGACAAGGTATGTCAAACATAGTGAAGTATATAAAAACAACTTAAGCTCTTAGAGTAGGTGATTGTGCTAACATGATATCCGAGTAGGAAGTCTTGTGTACAAACCTTATCGGCACTTTGATTATATATAAAAAATANATGTCAAACATAGTGAAGTATATAAAAACAACTTAAGCTCTTAGAGTAGGTGATTGCGCTAACATGATATCCGAGTAGGAAGTCTTGTGTACAAACCTTATCGGCACTTTGATTATATATAAAAAATATTGTAGATGCATGACCCAAAATCTAGACCCAAGTGAGGGAGCATGTTGAAATATACAAGTACTTACGTATTCTTGAACAATTTGAATTTTTAGAATAGATGGTGGTTTGACCAAACGCACTAGGGAAACCTTAATAATTTTGGAGTGATATTTTTTTTTGTTTGCTCTTGGAAGTGGGGAGTCTTATGTGTTCATGCATTTGAAACTATAACTTTTATGTGTGATTGAATTAGCCTCGGCCCCCATTGTGCAATTCGAGTCACAAAAAGGGTCTCTCTGCATGGGGACCAAATATTTGTGTGTGTGAGTGTCAAGGACAAAGTTGTTGTAATTAAAGGTGCAAAATGTAACCATGGCTATTGTCATGGTTTTAATGTTAGATTTTGGGGGTTGGCTACGTCCATCTTCATTCATCATTCTGGTTTCTTTTGGGCATACTTTGTGTGAAAACTTGTGCTGAACCCCTTTTTGTTTGAATCTCTTCATCAGTAACATCCACCAGATTTTTTCCCTGGTTAGTATCTGGAATAATTTAATTGAGACTAGAAAGCATAATTTTCTGTGTTTTCGGTTGCTTTACTAAGTTAGTCCAAAGTCCAATTCCTTAGGAAGACACTGAAGGAAATCCTCCACCGTTGCTGTTGAGTTATTGATAGTCAAGTCTTTCAATGCCCCTTTGGAGTGCAATCTAACATTGCCTAGGTTGTGCAAGTGAAAGGCGAAGAGCAGCCATTTCGTATACTGTGATGAGGTCAAGTTGAAGCCTTTCCAGGCCCTTTTTTAAATGCAAAATGATTGTTAAATACTTAAATTAAACACCAGTTTTCTAAAGCTCTTAAGATTTGCCAAAAGTACTATGAGACTTATCTGTGAATTTAACTTGTTAAAAGAATTACCTATTCAAGGATCTCTGTTGTCCTACCAAATGACACACCACCCCTGGNAATACTTAAATTAAACACCAGTTTTCTAAAGCTCTTAAGATTTGCCAAAAGTACTATGAGACTTATCTGTGAATTTAACTTGTTAAAAGAATTACCTATTCAAGGATCTCTGTTGAGAAGTAGCCCATATTCATCTAATGGCAACAAAACTTAACTGTTATGGCCAACAGTTGTCTATTTGGAGCTTTGTTTTATCATTAAATGCATCTATGGAGCCCTCTTGCATCACGAATGAGTCATAATTAGCGACAGCTGAAACAATGAAGTTTCATTATGTTTATTTGATCCTGTATGTACCTTTCAGGCTATTGAGAGAGGGGAAAACCTAACTATTCTTAACAACAAGGCTGAAGATCTGCGTGATTCGGTAGGTTGATACACATTGTTTATCTCTTAGTTCCATACATAGCATGTATTAAACATCTATTATTGCTGTGTTCAGGCCCAAGAATTCAAGAAAAAAGGGACGCATATCCGACGGAAGATGTGGTATCAGAATATGAAAATAAAGTTGGTTGTTCTAGGAATCCTTCTGCTTCTCGTTCTCATTATTTGGGTTTCAATTTGCCATGGGTTTGATTGCACCAACTAGCATGTCTTCAGCACACAAGTGGATCAACTTCAGTTCAATTGTGTATACACAGAAGCCTCCATTGAAGAGCTTGAGTTCCGCAGAGGGGTCACTGCACTCTTTCTGCAAGTTTGTTTTTGAAAATCTCCAAGCAGTTACTAAGGTACAAAGTACTGGAAAGGATGTCTTCTTTGTCTGGATTGTCGTTTTTGTTTTCTGGGGGGATTTGTAGTTGTTTGTGCTAGGTCGCATCAACTGATATGAACTTGTTTTTTTTCTATAAATTTACAATATAGTAATAAACAAGGTTTTGGTGCAGTGTTTACTTTACTCATCCTGATAGCCCAAGTTTCTAATTTGCATCTCAGTGGACTCCTGAAATTGTTCTATGCTTCAACTAGAGGTGCCACCTTCACTGAGTTGTCGCATTTTACTTTTTTTTGTTTTTTGATTCTGTCCCATGCTCTGTTAAGCCTGTATTGATTTAGTCCCATTGCTCTGTTAAGCCTGTATTGATTCAGTCTCATTGCCCAAGTCTGTATTGGAAAATCAGAGTGAAGTCATGGAGAAAGAAGAGAAGAAAAGATTTCTTGTGTACTGCTCTATCATGCATCGAAAGGTTTTTTGTGCTGTACACCTCATTGCGAAAGACCAACCTCTGCTATACACCACGTTGAGAAAGTACTCTTTTAAGATCTCGGGTTCTTATTATTTGTACATTTTAAGGCCACAGATTCACTAATTGGTGCAATAGTTTGTGTGCTAAACAGAAATTTGAACATGGTTTGTTCCTCTAAGAGATGGCTGAATCTGTAAGGGAGGATTTCGGATTATAGTAAAGGCATTAGCAATATGTTGTCTTAGTGGCTCAGAGGTGGCAATCAGTACAATATTCTCGACTCACATGGTATTAGCCACAATGATTTTTTTTTTGGGATGAGAGGGGGAAGAGAGACTTGAACCCTTAGCCTCAAGAAGACAAAGTCTTCACAAGGCAAAGAATACTATTGAACCAAAAATTCATTGGTACAATGAGTTTATGCACAAGGAGAGAGTGTTTTTGTAACTCGAATTACTAATGCTTAGGTTACAATCCAATAGTTTTACACTTGCACCAAAAACCCGTTATCCTCTCTAAAAAGCTAACGAAAACAATTATGAAAATTTCACATAACATAATTATAACTTCTAATCTCCTACTTATTTATACAATGTGTATATTTGCGAAGGACCATGTGATGCACAATATTTACGATTCGGCTCAATCCTTCTACAATTTTTCACTCATCACTTAGAGATATTGGATAGGGAATTATAGAAAGTCATAGGGTGATATGAATAAATCTTTTTGAAAAACATGTAAAATAGTAGTAGTTAATTAGCGGAATGAAGATGTAAACTACATGGGTCATGTGACAAATATATGATTGGATCAAACTTATGATCCGTTTGGTATGAAGAACAGAAAGAAGGAAGAAAAGAAAAATGAAAAGGAATAAGTTTTTCATCCATGAAGGAAAGAAAATTATTTTTCCTCCGTTTTGTTTGGTAGGAGGGATGAAAAATAAAAAGGTTATATTTTTTATCGTTTGGTATTAAATGAAAAATGAAAAGAAAGGAAAAACATATCTGCCCACATAATTTTACTCTTAAATATATTAAGTGAATTTTTTATTACAAATCAATCCAATTAATTTGAAAAAGCTTTTAATCCCCTTATTTTTGTTACAAATTAATTTTGGAGGAATTAATTTTGCTTTGAATGATTTGTAACTATTAATTAAAAAATGACAAAATGACATTAATTAAAAATAAGAATATAAAAAGAATTTACACATTGGTATATTTTCCTGGATAAAATAATGAAGACACAAAACTAAAAATAATATTTAAATACTATAATCATAACATTAAAAAGGAGGACTTCATTTATCTTCGAGTGGCTGACATCCTCAAAAGTAAAATAGGCATGGAATATTGTGCACAATAAGAATGGGCAAGAGGGCACAATAGTAATTTAGTTTAAACTTTAATCAATATTCCCTTCTTCTCTTCCACTTTCCGCCCAAAAACCGGAAGGAAAAAAAAATGGCAGACAGAGTAGATTAAGCTTCCTTTCCATTTTTCAGTCCACTGTGATTTCCTTCTATACCAAACAAGTGAAAACCTTTCCTTTCCTTCCATTTTTCCTCTTTTATTTTCCATCCACCTTTCTTTCCATTGTACCGAACACAGGGTTAGTGTTGTAATTAAAAAAAATAAAATTCTAAGAAAAAAAGAAATGAAGAGTGAAAGCTTCTAAAGCCCCCTCTTTCCTAATCTGTTTGTAATAATATATGATAAAAAAAATAATAAAAATAACATATGATATATGTATATTCTCAGTAAATTTTCATCACATACTAATTAAAGTCGACTTTCTAGAAAACAAGTTATCCAAAAAAAAATGTCCTTTGCTCCACACACTAAGGGCCTGTTTGTTTATCGGGTACGGGCGGGGGTTTAAAAAAAATAGTTTGATAGATCACTTAATTCTCTGTTTAGTTAAAACTTTTAAACTCAGGATTCATATCTCGACTTGCAAGAAATAGTGCATTAAAAGCCAAGTATAAGGGTTTGATGAAACCCTTTTTTTTTGGGGGGGGAGGGGTTCGACAAAAAGATTATTTTACCCAAAAATTATTCTTCTATTCACCTAAGAATAAACATTTTAGTAAATTGAGTAATATAATTTGACATGAATCTATAAACTCTACATATATTTATGTCTCTTACCAAACATGAAATTGGATTGTGTTTATGATTAAATCCCATGTAGAAGGTTGGGTTTAAAAGAGTTTCCTAAAACGAATCTAATCCCTCTCATGTGGATCATCCAAACATGCCCTAGACTCATAAAACTTTTCGATTAATTTTCAAGGGTTTTATATCGAATCGGGTGCGAATCAGACTAGAATACAAGACACCCCACATCATTGTCTTCCAATTCCACAAGAATTTTTTTTTTAATTTATGAAGCACATGGCATGGTTTTCTCTGCAAGCAAAGAGAGGAAGGAGGAGGACCCAATGGTGATTAGTTTATCACCTTTGAAGCAACACAAAGTCATTGTTTGCCAAACTCACTTATTAAACCTTTTTTGATCATCTTTTTCTCTCCCATGGCGCCGACTTTGACGTCGGCAAACGACTCTTTAAGTCTCATGTGGCCATGAAATTACGGAGGGAGCGCCGGAAGAGCCATTATAGCAGAAGAACATCAACCATTCACATGTATAGTTTGATACTTAATAGTATTATTGTTCAAGGGCATTGCTAATTTATTGATCTAATTTGTTGATGTAATCATTCATAACCGTTAGATTTTCAATGGGTTCTAATAAATATTGAGACCGACTATTAATCTAATGTTTGTGATTGATTAAATTAATAAATTATATTATAAATTAGGTACAAATAATATTATTATTTACGCATATGAAAATTGAGAATCTAAATTCATTGCACCTAAAGAAATTCCAACTCATTTTGAGAATTATAGAACAAAGTAATGGAAAAGGTGTGCTAAGGGTAATTAAACTATTGTGTGTGTTTTTACTATGCTTTCCTTTTTCATTGCATCCATAATCATTAACACCCATAAAGTGTTTTTGGATGTTGGGTTTGTTTTCTTGGGTGGTAATATAATAAACCCTTGTAGCATCTATGTCAAAAAGGTGTTAACTTGTTATGATGTAGTTTATCGGTAACTTTAAGGGGTAGTTCAAATAATAATAGGTACAAGATGTAAATTCAAACATCTTGAATTTAAATTTTGGTAATTTTTTGGGGGTATTCATGAGAGATTTTATCTTTCATGAATACCCTAATCTCTGTGTGTATAGTTCGCTTTTAACTTGACTGAGAAGAAGATTAGTTAAGATACTGTTTAAGTTAGTCCAAATACTCCTGACCGTTAAACTAAAAAAATAATTTCTTTGGTTAATAACTCTATATCTTAGGTAGGAGGGAGGGAGGGAGAGAGAGAGATTTTAAAAACTATTTGCCCAAAAAGAATCTCCCTTTGTTGGAGAACCTAAAAACTTATGTAGGCATGCATGCAAATAGAAAAAGGGAATGTTCCATTATTTCAGGTTGCCCTAATGATAGTGAGTGCTATCAAGGATATAGAAGAGACCAATAGAGATAAACTAATAAAAGGGAATATGTCTTGTTTGTGCTTGTTCAATATGTTTCTCCCTTTAGCATAATGATTCTGCTCAATATGTTTCTCTCTTTGGCATAATGATATATAATGAAAATTGAATGTTTAACCGGTAAAATTTAATCAACACACGACTGAAGAATTAACGTTACAAATTCGAATTAAGTTTTATGTTGATTGTCAATTGATGGGTTTGATACTCGATATCTAATATATTTGATATTGGCTTCACATAGTTGCAGATACTCATCTTGTATTAATAGGTTCTCCAAGAATCTTCTCCTAATACACTAATTCTTTTACGAACTATGAATCCATCAATTACCGCCTTTCTTCTTTATTGTTTCCGACTAGTCATTCTTCTACTCACTTTTGAGCAAAGAATAACTTGAATCGAGGTATGATTAGCTTTAGAATTGTCTTAGTCACGAGCACTTTAAATTGGGGTTACTACGCTAAACTTTGAGCCTACATAAATATTGACGCACATCAAGTGAATTCGGACTATTTCGCAAGAGTCGAATTTGAAATATCAAAATATCAATCCACTAATCCATAAATTTTCTCATTCAGCTCGGACAATTGACTGTAGAGTTATATTTCTTTTAAGTGTTTATGTGGAGGGAGCTTCATTTATGAGAAACAATGAAAATATACCACAAGTTTGAATGATTGGATTTTAATTATATCAATTTCTTATGGAAATTTTGTATTTGTAATTTCATCCTCATGAAAGATATTTCAATAACATGGAAATCAATTCATTTATCCGGTTATAGAATTATTATGATCACGATCGTGTCATGTTTTTACATACATGATGTAAGCGTATTGTACCGTAACTTATTCAAGTTAAGTTATAACCATTGTTTATCATCGATAACTATTGGGTACATGCAATATATATATATATACTGATGAACCAATTCATTCATAACTGGGAGTCGTTAATTAGGGTTAAATTCTTAAATTCACATGTACTAATTTTGCATTAATATGATGGGAAACTCAACAAGATTTATCATTTTTCCTACAGCTAAGTGTACCAACTACCAACAGCATGGCATGACAAGACAGAACCTCCAGCCATCAAAATCAAACTCAGGAGAAGACAAATCAGTATCTCTCTTGCCCCATCATTTCTGGATAGAATGGGCAGACAGGATCTTCTCTTCTCCATCACCCTATTATGAGTTCATCCATTTCTACTCTTTGAATGACCTTGACCAACTCTGTCTGTGTGTGTGTGAGAGAGAGAGAGAGAGAGAGGTCACAGTAGCCCATTCTATGAGGGAATGGGGCTGCACTGGCAGGAACAGGAAAGAAAGTCTCTATCTAGCTTGTTTTTTCATGGATTGAGCTAGCATTTGGACATGTTTTGATAAGCTCCTTATCCATAGAAGATCATTGCCAGTGTTTGGGTTCAGTTAAAGCTCATGGTTTGAAGCACATGTTGTTCGGATTCTTGGGCAAGAACATTTAGGGTTTGTCAGTTGGATGGTGTTTCATAGCAAATGAGAAGTTATTAAAAAGTGAAAAAATTAAAGTCAGATGTCAGATTTTGTTTGCATGTTATTTACATTAAAATTATTAAACAAACTTCTAAACACAATTCGTAAACTTCATATGGATCGATTCAAAGATATCAAGCATGAGTTCAGACTAACGAGTTCAAATCATATTAAAATATGAGTTCAAATCCATCAAATTGGCTTAATAATTATGTATAAATTAAACTAATTTTGATACAACACAACTTAAGTACCCGACATGACTTGACAATTGGCAGCCTTTCCAATTTTGCGGATACATTTACAGTGACGAGGTTTTCTTTTTTGAGAATCTTAGAGTATTGCTATGAATACCAAATGTTGAAAATTTTTTTCAGCAAGATAAGTTCTTGTGTAATGGAATAATCAAAAAAAAAGAGAGAAAAACTATTCTCGTATGCATGTATGAAATAAGGATCGATGGTGCGAAATTCTTCCAAATATGTGCATTAAAATAAAATAGGGTTTGGATCCTCCCAAATTTAAACTTGTCAATTTCAATCAACTTTAATTACTGGATTCTACTGGACACACCAGACTGTCCTTTCTTTTATTCAGTTTTGCTTAATATGAAAAAATGAAAAAAAGAAAGAAAAGAACATTGGCATATAAGATTAGAGTACCCTAATCCATTGATTTGGATCAGTACTTTACTCTTTCAATTTTTATTTTTATATTTTTCCCCATAGAATACTCTATCAATTTTAATAATTTCTTCTTTTCTCAACAATTTAAATTCGTTCAACAGAAAATTTGTTTGTACCAAAAATTTGTATCTCTAAAATGGGATAAAGTTGTCCATTGCTTATCTTTACAACACCTTGGCTTAGACGGGAATTTTATACACTATGTACCACATTTTTCTTTTACCTTCCACCTGTGCCCTGATCCACTTCCCTCTCCATAAAAGTTGGATGGATCAGTCCATTTGGATACAGGCAAAGCTGATGGTTGGCATACCCTTCACTATCTTTTGCCCCTCAATTCCTCCATACTTGCTCTGTCATTTTCCAAAAGCTTAAGAAAACTTTTTTGCAGAAAGTGATTGACATACCATTGCCCTCTTCACTCTTTCAGTCCCTGTTCTCCATCTTGCATGATAGATAATTAAACAATGCCACATTGACAAAAATGAGGAAGGATGGGTGTACCGACAATCGAGTCCAAAAGACACAAACCACGATTCTTCACTAAAAATACAAGCCTTTCATTGGAGAATCACTACATAATTTACAGGACTTTTTACACACAAACACACACTACACTTAGCTCCCATAACCTAAAGAGAAGCTTCACCTATGTGTTGTTTTACATGGTAAAAACCCCATAAGAAACAACTAAGTCAACCAATTACCCAACTACATCTAATGAAACATTTGATTGATTTGACCCCTCAGGCTACAAACCCAAATTGGAAATATATAGAACAATCACACAGAAACAAGACTTATATATATAGAATCATGCATGGTGGAGTACTTCTACATGTCCCGAACTTCAAATTCATTGCGGTTCTTGACCACAATATCATACATGTGCATGGACTTGAACCTGTTGAAATCTCTAGGGAGAGAGATGAGATGAACTGTGGATCTCTTGTGGTACTGAAGAAGGTCAGGGTCATCATAGTATCTCTCCCAACCAAGGGCTAGAAGCTTCCTCTCAAGGATTGCATAGGATGTAATGACTTCATTAGAGGATAAATGGACTAACACCTTACGGCGAGAGTTCGAGCCCTGGCAGTCTGCACCAGGGTTCTCGACGAGTCGAACAACGCCATTCTTGAAAACCCAAACACCAGACATTGTTGTTGAAGGACCTCAAGAGAGGGAATGAGAGAATTAGTACTGTAAGGTTGTATACATGTGAGCTTGAAGATGACCTTAAGGAAGGGAGGGACAGTGTATATATAAGGGAAGCTGGGGAATATCTTAAAATTGGGTGGGGATATAATAATAAAAAAAACTTAGTGCGAACTAACTATGGTATGTTTGGTATAGGTGTAGCTAAGGTAGGGGCTACATATAGTACTGATTCTTAGGAAACACATGCTTGGTAAACTCACAATTCTTTAAACTCTTACAACTCGATCGGATTCATCGACGAGTCTGATTTTTTTATAATTTAGAGGTTTCAAAGCTTAAAATTTTTTATATTATCTAAGAGTTAATTATTTTTATTTTTTAATGGATATGTTTTAAATCTGTTTGAACTAAGGTGACTAGTATTCGAGTTTAGAAGAATAGTTGACGTAAGACTAGACACTCTATAATAAAAAAAAAGCTCATAATTCTTTACTTTATCCGTCAATTTTAATGGAAAAAACATAGGAATACTTCGAATATGAGTTCGATTTGAGCGGGGTGCACACTCAACCTTAGATTGAACACATTTATATGATAGAAATATGACATGATAACGTCATGAAGCTTGTATTTAGTGCCCACTCAACCTTATTTTGTAGATGGTGTAATCAGATTGAGTGGGAAGCCAATTTGTTATCCCAACCATGGGAATCTGGAGTTGAAGAGATCATATAAAGACTTTCTCTAGAAAAAGGGTAATAGAATATGACTTATGCAATGTATGGCATTAGTTGTCATTGATCATAACTGCTTATATTCTTATCAATGGCACCATCCAAAGGTGATAGGATCTAGAGACATATATATATTCTTTGTCGTTGTACTAAGAAAATTTGATGTTAAGACTATACTGCGATAATAAATATCCGAAACAAGATGACGGATTTGTCACACGACTTAATACATGTGTTCGAGAAGAATAATCGAGTATTTTATGATAATATGGACCGGACTAGTGGATATAACTACGTCCACTAATAAATGGGTTAAACTAAACCTTATCTCCTTGTATTTGTGTATATTAATATTGTTTACCAAGAGAGAGTCTAGTGTCCATTTTTAAAATGACCCTAATACCGTTAATTTGTTGTCACATAAGTACTCACATCTCTTTCTTTAACTCGACTCAAACACTTCTTCTCATCATCGAACTTCCTTTTTAACCTTCTTCGGGTGCCTAATTTTCTCTTCACACGGGGTAACTATGGGTGCAGAGTGATAAATTTGTATTAGGCCAAAAGATAATAAGAGAAAATTTTGCGACAAATAAGACACCGTTTTGATAATCCTTTTATCCAAATATATAATTTTACCCAAAAAAAAAATGAACTATTTTTTTTTTAAAAGTGATTCTCGTGCATCTTGTTAGTATATAATAACACTTATATATGCACATATTCATACTATTATACATATCATTAACCTTCGAAAAAAGTAAAAAATATATCAAAAAAAGAAATAAGCACTATTTAAAAAAGTACTTTAAAATAAAAACAAAAACTAAAGAAGACACTTCAAAAATAAGTTACTAGACTCTACCTAAAAGTAGAGTTGAATGGTCATGGACATGAGAAACCAAACTCTCTTTATCTAGAATTACAGATGCTTATAGTATCTGTAGGGGATTTATTCGCGCGTTCGGGATGTCCTCCCCCCACAGAAGGATTTCAGCTGACCTGCGCGCGTTCGGCAGTAGCCTTTACCTCTCTTCGCCAATAGGACCCTTTCCTAAGGCAATCCCACATCGGAAGAAAGTCGTCTTCCCCCCTGCCATATAAGTGAACACTTCCTATGGAGGAGGTACCCACTTTCTGTGGGGGGAGGACATCCCGAACGCGCGGATAAATCCCCTACAGTATTTATTGAGACTACTTGTGTATTATTTTACTTAAAAATTGTGAATGGGTGTCTGTGTGTTTTTTTTTTTTTTTGGGG